TTGGGGTGGGGGGCGGCGGGGAAGGATCCGACTGAACTGGAAGAAGCAGAAAACATCATAAAACCCCCTTCGGGCTTCAGTGGCCTTCAAAGAAGACGAAATTCCTGCAAGAGGAGCTCCGTGGAGCCTCCTTGTGCAAAGGCAGTCTACTGCTTAATATGAACTTCCAGCAAGGAGAAGGAAATGTCTAGTGGAGGTATTTCCTTGCAGCATCTTCGTGTTTTGTTTTTGGACTTGGCTGCTCTGTGGGCTTCTGGAGCTTCTGAAGGCAACGGAGGGCATTGGCAAGTGAGGTTCCCTTGGCACAAAGCAGACAAGGCTGAATCCTGGAATTGTGCCATTGGAAGGGACCTTAGAGGTCATTTAGTCCCACCCCATGCCAAATCCATTCCCTTGATACTGTGTTTTCTATTCCTTGCCAAGCATTAGAGGGTTTCTCAACCTTGGGCACTTTAAGACGTGTGGACTTCCACTCCCAGAATTCCCCAGCCAGCCATGCTGGCTGGGGAATTCTGGGAGTGGAAGTCCACACGTCTTAAAGTGCCCAAGGTTGAGAAACCCTCTAATGCTATAGAAAACACAGTATCAAGGGAATGGATTTGGCATGGGGTGGGACTAAATGACCTCTAAGGTCCCTTCCAATGGCACAATTCCAGGATTCAGAACAGAGCTACCTACTACTGTAGTAAAATAGATTCCTGTCACTGTGCTACATACTCTGAAACAGTGTTTCTCAACCTTGGGCACTTTAAGACGTGTGGACTTCCACTCCCAGAATTCCCCAGCCAGCCATGCTGGCTGGGGAATTCTGGGAGTGGAAGTCCACACGTCTTAAAGTGCCCAAGGTTGAGAAACCCTCTAATGCTGCATGGCTGGCTGGGGAATTCTGGGAGTGGAAGTCCACACGTCTTAAAGTGCCCAAGGTTGAGAAACACTGTTTCAGAGTATGTAGCACAGGGACAGGAATCTATTTTACTACAGTAGTAGGTAGCTCTGTTGTAAGAGAATATTAGGCGGAAAATCCCCGGAAATCTTGCCGCAGACCTCTGGGCGAGTCTCTTCTTCTTTTGCAACATACCCAAAGCCCATTTCTTTCCCCTGCTCTGTCTTCCAATTTCTCTCTCCTATTTCTCCATCTCAGCCCGGCTCTCAGGACAGGATGGCAATTCCCCAGGGTTGCGGGAC